TGTGTGTGTGTGTGTGTAAAACAAACACTGTAAATAAAACAAATAAATAAGGTGTTACCGCCTCAGTGACTGTGCCATGTTATATTTGTTGGACCAAGTGCAAAGTATGCTGGTGCATGCTACTAAAAAGCCACAGTCTATTCTTGCCCATGAGTAAGTTAAGTGTATTAAAGGAATGATTTGTTCCTCGTGTGTGGTGTCACACACTGTATTAAGGTGTACCTAAAAGTCAATTAACTTTATGTACGCATATATATGCCAATTTCACTTGCAATATTAAATCCCAAAGCAGAACAGCCCAGGCTTAAAATATCGCCTGTCCCGAACCCCCTATGAATGAAACAACCCATCAGTTTTCAGTATGAAAATGTTGACAGCAGATTGAAAACAAGTGTCCTTGTTTTTTGCAAACTGGGCAATTCTGCTGTAGTTTATCACTCAGATCAGAGAGACAGCTTTCCAAGACGAATGGCTGACTGAATGGATGTGGAGGAGAGTTGCACCCAGCCTTGCTATACTGAGAAGAGATGATGGGTGTACATGAGGGAGTATAGAGCAAACTGGCAGTGGTTTATGCTGACTCTCCAACCATCCATCCACTACAATCTGTAGCTAATCAATCTAAAGTTAGAGACAACAAGAATAGAATATACAGTAAACCTACACAGTAATTGGTCTTTGCATGTGCAGGCGGTACAAGTCATGGTTCAGGTGTTATACACAGTGGCTGTACACAGTGCAGTTCTTACAAAGTTGTCTTTTTCTTTTTGATACAACCACACCTCTAACCATATAAACATTTGGGTTTAAACTACATAAATATAAAACGGGTTACTGAACTTTTTCTTGTCGGTTCTAATAATAGTCTAAGAACAAGAAGGAAGCCTGTAGAAGAAGACACTCTAAAGTACCTATTATTTAAATAGACATTGCACCTAAAATCAAACGCTTCTAACATGCCAGTTATTGAAGTTTCTTTTGTTTTTTAAAGCAGCAGTGTATCATACAATTTTAAGTAACTGGCCCCTAAAGTCATTTTCCGTCACTGTCAAGAGACCTCCCTTGACAGTAAAAAGGCTGTCATTGGCTCTGTAAACTTTGGTTGTTTTATTGTTGGTGATTCATTTAAGGATCATTTCTGTGAAACTTCTATTCATTTGGATGCTAAAGCTGCCCTCCTCTCACCCCACAAGCATCAAGCCTCATTTTCATCTAAATAAGAATCGATCTCTCCTGCTGTGCACCGTCCTCCCTTACTCACAGCTCTCACGGTCACAACCCCACTTGTCTTCTCTTTGCTTGTTCCTATGCTAGAGAGCACAGGGACAAGCATCACTCTCCTGAATACATTTAGATGGAAAATTCACCATACTCCATGTTTGAGATCACAACTGCAAAGCAGAGGAAGTAATTTACTCTTATTTAATGCTGGCAAAAGGCGGGCGGTGGGATTTCTTGCTGTAGTCATCAGAGAAGCAAATTAAGCATGAACATTAATGAGTAAATGAGTCCAAGACATCGGAGAGACAGCGAACAAAGCTTTGACTGACTGGTACAATGTCAAAGCTTCGTTCTGCATCAGTGACCAAGCCAAACGCAAGAGATGGGGGTGAGTCACTGTGGGGGAGGGGCCTCCTCCTGAATGGTCAGGGGACACTGATGAAGTGAAATAGATGCGGCACCGAAAGGAGAGCAAATGTGACTGAGGATGAGCATATGAACCCTGAATAATCCCAAATGAAAATCCACCTGTATTCAATCGCTTGTGGTTTTCCAGTAGTACAAGTCAATTCAAGCTGCTAACGTATTTCATTTCTGCATAGTTTACTGACATCATTTATACTATACTGACCATGTGTACTTACCAAATTCTTTCGGTTATCATTGGTGAGAATAATTATAGTATAGTAATAGTCAAACCACTTCAAAAGCTGTCACATCAAATGCACGCCATTACTCTTCACTCAATAAATACAATATTAGTTTTTGACTTTGATACAAATCACCTCAGACAGGTCATCAGCTCCTGGATGTGGGGATTTCTTGCAGTTTTTTTAAAAAATTGATGAACAAGCAGTAACCTTTATTTTGCAGGATTGTGACAATCTTTCACAAACAACTTTTTATTATCTGCCAGTCTTAGCAGTCACCGGTTTTTACAGGTGAGAAGTACTTAATTAAACCTTGACGTAAAAACCGCGCTGGCGATTTACCAAGCTTATCACAACTTTATATAGCCAGCTACTGCCATCTGCTGGTCAAGCACAAGCATTACCTGAACAACGCCCATCACCATTTCTACTTCTGACTGAAACAGCCTTATTTGACTTGGAAAACATTAGAGTTGACTTTGTCATGAAACAAGACATCAAATCAAGAAAATCACATACTGGTCAAATTAACAGAGACACATACAAGCATACTATATAAGCCAAACAAAGCCATGGTCCACCAGAAGCCAGACTGCTAATGATTTCCTTCCTTATGAAGTTGCAGAGGATAAAGGTGCTGTCATAAGATTCCTGAGCACGTCAGATGAAAGATCCTGAAATCCAGCCTTTGCCGCTGGTAGAAAAAGAAATCATATTGGTCAGTCAGTTCATTAAACCCTTGTCTAATATGCCTAAACAGTTGCATGCTAAAAAAAAAAATAATGACAAAACTATTACCCAGCCGGCCACTAGTTTCTTTCACCAATAACTGAGAGTGTGTTTTGATAGACAGAAGCTCTCTAACCATCTTACATTGTGTGTCCATCTAAAGGCAAAGAAGAAGAAGAAAAAAACAAAACCTCATTGCATAGCATTTGCAAAACAGATGAATATAGTTCTGAAGTTAAGGCGTTTTTATTTGATTTGATCCTCTTCCTATTTGACTGTTCATGTATATGCTCTTAAAATAATCACAAATAATCACACTAAAATCACACTAAAATATAAGCAGCAATAAGAGTTAAAGTTTGTAACTTAGATGTTAAGTGCCCAAAAGCCAGCACATGTACTCTGGTTAATCAAGGATGTGTAGCTCACATTGCTTTCAAGTTTTCTAGTGATGATGATTTAAAAAAAATAATAATAATAATAATAATAATCCAACATACAATCATGGACATGGTGTGAAGTAGGGGTTGTTGTTTACACAGGACAGCCTGGTAGTCAGGTTTACTCTGTATGAAAAGGTGCTGTGAGGACTGGGCCACTGATGTAGACTCTAGCGATACACCCGTCTCCTGGCCATTCTCCACCTTCCTGAAATGAATAAAGGAGCAGATTACCAAGAAAGTTTTGAGAAGACAATAATGGAACATTAATGAGTCAGTGATATAGTAATTCTTCAATAAGAACAAATATATTCACATTTCCAGTTCCTTTGCTTTGTTTCTGTGTTTGTTCAGCAGTGTCTCCCAAGATTCGCTTTCAGCCTGAAGCCTAAAACACAAGAGTTAGTTGAAAAAAATTTATGTTGCTTTAATGAATACCATGTGGCTGACTGGTAATTTCTTTAAATGACTATAAGGGCATAAAGTTAATAAGAACAACATGCCTGTTAATGGCTCTTTGGTATTTTTCCATGGCTTTTTGCACTGCGGGGTTACTAGATCTAAAAGAAAACAGAGGCAAAAAGAAAAAAAACACTAGAAAATAATCAGTAAGTATGAAAAAAAGAAAAAAATTATAATCCATGTGAATTACTGGATACATAAATTACAACTACAATACCTGGCTGCACTAGAAGGTTGTTGATGTGTTTCATTATGTAATGTATCGGCCAGGCAACCCCACTCTTTCTGGATGTGCTCAACTATGCAAAGAAAGGCCAGGGAAATAAACAGAATATTTCTGTATCATACAATAAAGAGTCTCAAATCCAATGTATATCAAATGAACACCAACCTTGTTTTTGAAAAGTCTCCAATGAGGCATTTGGCACTGACCGAAGCTGATTTTGAGTTCTTCCTATTGCCAACTAGGGATAAAACAGATGATTAGGTGGATAACCTTGAGGAATCTTGACAATTCACTACATGTGCTCCACTAAAGTAATGCAACCAAGATCTTTCCAGTTAACTGTGATTGTAGCTGAATGATTTTACACAAATGGCTTTATTTCTCCATTTATTCAGTCAATTTTCTAAATGTGCGGTACATTTAAAAGCACACACACAAGCTTTAGCAGTGAGATGAACAGTATAACATTGCCCCTAGTTATTTAAATTTTCAGTTTGTTATAGCTAATGTTCTTAAGATCATACCTTCATCGAAGCCTCCATTAATTTCACGATCCTCTCATGGTGTGATAAGGATGTGCTTATGTTTCCACACAAAGCTGTCGTAAACACATAGATAAATGTTTATATTGCAGGGGGAAAAAATGAAGAGGAAGAAGAAGAAGAAAAAAAAACACTCCATGACCATACTTTACAATGGGCATAAAGCCTCACATCTCACCCTGATATGGATTGGGAAGGGCAGGGAGAGATCTTCGGCTTATAGTAGACCTCCTCCAGGATTTCCTGTGTGCAGTGGGGCTCACAGAGGACCCTGTATGCTCATCACTATTTTCTGGCTCAACCTCTTGGACGTCTATGTCTGGTTGCCCTTTTGCCACATCTGGCGTCTCTGTTGTGGGTGATATCATGTCGGTACGGGGAGACTTGGGTGGGGGAGATGTACCGGGACTTGTGGGAGAGCATCTTTTCGAAGACTGTTTCCCTGGGTTGGCCTTGGTAAACACAGGTTGAAAAACATTATATTTAGCACGAGTGACATTGTTAGCTTAAATGTAAGTTAAAATGCCTTACCTCACTCTGGCTGTCAGCTAAGGCGACACTTCCGCAACTGTAAGAATATTTTGCGAATTTAAAAGACAACGACACATATGCAAAAATATTAATAATATACATTTGGATAAAAAAAAAATACTATTACGTATCGCTGAAAACTTTACTTTGCTAAGCAACGGCAAACTACAGTGATTTTCGTTCAACAAACCTCTGTCAGCCATAAGCCTTTAAGAAAAAATACTTAATTCATCAACTCCTGTTTATAATAAACTGCTTGCGTTTGGCTTTATAAACCAAGATACGTACCCGTCTTGACCAACTTCCAAATCCTTTTCCGCCATTTTTCTTTCAAATAGTTGTTCACCCAGCGCGCCCAAAAAACCACACCCCTCCAGGGAACTAAGCAGCATGGGAAATGTAGTTTGGCATTAACATATACAAACGAGATCGCGGCCAACATAGCGAATGCCCTCGAAGCATTTAAACATAGTTGACAAAGCAGTCCACCTTTACTTTCAGTGTAGTTACAGACATTGACTTTTGAATAGAGATATGATGGTTTTCGGGAAAAGTGTTTAACTTTGTAAGGTTATTAGGAGCCGTGTGGTGCACGGTATGTACAAAGGCTGTGTGTAGAACACAAGACACAGGACATGTAGTTTGCATATTCCCAAAGAGTTGTGTCACTTTTTCTTTCTTTTTTATTTTACATATTGAATATCACAGTGAAGTAAAATATGTGGCTCCACAATATGCCTATATTGTAATGACATGTAGAAATTCAGGATACAAGTTCTGACACCTCCTTGGATCAAGCTCGACCTACTGGGGTTGCCCAATGTAAATGATCAGCTCCATACCTGGTCTTTTTTGTAAAACCTGGTTGAATTTCTTTTGGATTATCTGATGATTTTCTGGTGTTTTGTGACCTCTGAATTTTAGGCCTTTTGCTTAATCTCCTTTATGGCATTTCCTGACTGCTGGCAATTTTAGTTTTAAGTTAAACCCTTGTTATTTGTCAAAAGCACTCTGTAGTACATTTCATTTTGTTAAGTAATAACTATGGATGACAATCAGCTCTTGCTGGGACATTTACACCAAAAATTATCCTCTATTTCAGAAGCCACCTACTTAAACTGGAGTATAAGTGATTAATATTGCAACCACCTCTATTGCACAGATCTTGTCATTCATGTGCTCCCTTTGTCCAATCATGCACAAACACTTACCCAAGCTTTTTAGCAGACCACTAACCTATGATGATACATTGCATGTCACTTTTAGATTTTCCTGTTAAGGTTTCAGTTTCTGTGCTTACTCTTTTCATTGCAATTAATTTTTACCATAATGGATCCAGCATTCCCCTATTGGTCACTCAAATCTGCATATTCACATCCTAGTAATCTTTCTAGATCTCTATCTCTATCATAGTGTCAAAATTAGAGAGTTGCAGTGAAAGCATTTTTTTTCTCTTCATTTGTTTACAGCAGAGCTTAAGGTTCACTGGTCCCTGGTTGGAATGTGTTCATAGCTGCCAAGTCACCTTCATGTCAAGTGTACATATGTATCAAAAATATATAAAATTGGATGCACCATCCATATACAAAACAGTGTGAAATGTTAAAAATTCAAGTGATAATCAAGTTCAACCATTTCAAAAGATTTTTTTCACTTTTTTTTAAATGACCTTTTCAAAAAATAGTGGAACTATTTGTTACATTTCAAAGGGCTAAAATGTTCCCCCGATCAGCAAGTTTAAGAAACACAAATACGGTTATTTAGGACTTAATATACATGTTAACTGTGAAACTTTGACAATGAGGAAAATTACCACTAACTGTGTTTAAATCTGTCACTCCATCTGTCTTTTCATTAGTAAAGCAGAAAATTAGCCCTGGCAGCTAATGAAAAGCTAAAGCCAACTTCTCAGAAAATAATTGACACCTTTCCCATTGTCTATTCTTGACACTGTCTGAGTATATAAGCACATTTTAGATTTTATGGCCCAGTAAAGGGGAAAGTAATTGAGTAATTGGTACACTTCTTGATCCACACTGAAATCCAAATTCTCCCTAATCTTTTTGAGAATGGTGGTTTGTTTAAGATGCTTTACTTTGCTCAAAGATTATATATGGTGTGCTTCTATGACCGACATGTTTGTTAGATCAGTCAGCAAGTAAACAAAAAGTTCAAGAGCTCACAGGCATCTCTGATAACCTGAAGCTAGGTGAAATGGCACATTTGTTTTGGCCAGTGTCACAAGTCCCATGAGATAAACGCTTTCAATAATAACCTTCTTTGTACATTTACATTGTACTACAAGTCCCTGACCACGCTTTACTTACCTATCTTAAGGAACAGGGTTTTTCATGACCAGTTGGACATGGTCAACCTTGACAAAACACGTGGCAGACTTCATAATTTGTATTAAGTCTTTATAAGTCTGTTAAAGATGTTTCCACTTTTTACAAAATCAAGGAGGGGAATCAAAAAAATCCAAAACACTTTCCCAATTCTCTTGGAGAATGCCCCTTTTTGTGCCTGTATGTTTCACTCTGGCTGGCACAATCTCACACTCCACTCAATACTGCTGTCTTCATGGCGTTTTGTAACAGTGGTGAGCAACAGATAAGGAAAGAGAGAAATGTGGAAAAAAATGAGTCATGAGGAAAAGAATGAAAACAATTCAAACATAGACTTGATGAAAATACAGAAACACAGATGGTTAAGGAGGAGGGCAGAGCAGGACATAGGAAGCGATACACAGTGTGCAGTATTGTACGCCATGACTGTCTCAGCTGTCCCGTATTTTTCACAACAGCTTTTCATTCTCTTCCTCTTCCAACATCATCTCTCCCTTTACAGTTTGGTTGGTAAAGGCAGTGGTTGCTGTTGGCACCAAGTTTAAGAAGGCAGCCTGAGAGTTCCTTTGCCCAGCAGGAACTGCAAGACACGGTCCACCAGCAGAGCAGCAACAAAGTCCACCACCAGAACCTGGGCAATGATGAATTTGAACTGCAAGAAGAAGAAGACAGGTCAATCAGGAGGTATATAATTATTATGAGGATATTAAAACAAAACAATGCATAGTAAAACAATGTCAGCTCACCTCAGTTGGAATATCCACAAGAGCAAACTGTTCATTGAATTCTGGTGAGGATCCAGTAAGAAGTCCGACAATTGCTAAACCTGACAAAGCGATACTCCACAGTAGAGGTCGATTCTCGCTAAGAGACTCCATGAAGGGGTGACCCTAACACGCACAAAGACAAATGCTTTGAGTCTTCTATATAAACGCTTTAAAGATGCAGCAATAACAAATATTAATACTAAAGATAAATACCTTGTAGTTAATGGCAAAGGTGGCCATCTGCATGGCCATTGACATGATGTACACGGTGCTGTTAATTAGACTTGGTTCAAACTCTTTATACAGATCTACAAACTGCTCCGCTCTGCAAATGAGAGGACACAATTAAAATCTAAAAAATTAAACAACTATACAAAACTATAACATTAAATAAATTAGGTAATGTAATCAGGTAAAAATTAGAAACAAATTAGAAGCAGGTTAAACCAGGATGGTAAATTCCTGGTTTAATTCTTCTTTTGCCTTTGCATTTAAAAGGCAAAAGAGATCCTCAGTCAAGTCATTTAAGAGGCCTGTGGCCCTTACAGCAAACACATTTTATGCCTTTGGAATTGTACAAAGAACACATATAAAGCAACAAGTTACTAAAATTTGGAAGCTCTTTAGGAGACCTATGCAATAAGACATTTAAAGATTAATTAAAAACATTTTATATCCAGTTGTATAACATGCAGATAGGAAAGCAAAAAGTAAAGTAACTCGAATGATTTTCCCAGTTTAAGTAAAAAACTTCAATATCTGAAGAGCCTTAGAAAATGTTAGTACTTAATGAATATTTGATGTTGAAATGCCATTCATATTTTATTTTTAAATCAACTTCAAATTATTTTATTTACATAAACTGCTGCTGACTACTGATAGGACACCCAGTCTTGGCTGATTTTGGAGAGAGAAAAACATCTCTAATCTAGTCCATTACATCTGGAATTTATCTGTGAAAGAATGAAACTTCAAACCATATCTGAACAATACTAACAATGTAAACAATTAACCATAAAAGCAGAAGTGATTTTATTTATTTGTTCATTAATTTTTTGTCCTGTTGTCCCTTTCTGTCCAAATTTGATTTACCTGGGCGGACTTCTACTTTGTGCCTCTTTGTAAAGGTAAACAAGACTGCAGAAGTGAACAGCAAACTGCAGGAGCACAGTCAAAACTGTATATAGATTGAAGATGTTTGGTAAGGGCCGCTCTCGAGACAGTGTTTTCAGTGGCTAGACAAAGAGGAAAAGAGGTTCTTAGTTTGACTGTAATTGAACATGCTGAACAGATGTCATGGTAGAAGAAAAACATTAGGTAAATATTCTCACCTTTGACCTAGAGATGAAAAGGAAGCATCCAGCCAAAAGGAGACCTTGCAGAGTTGCTTGGAAATCACTGAACTTCACTCCCTCGAGGTAGAGGACAGACTGACTGTAGGCTAGCACTAGAGCATTGAGAGCAAGGATCTTGAACATCTGGAGTGTTGTTACCAGAGTGCAACGGCCTTGCTTTATTACATGGCAGACTGGGGGCAAACACAAAATAACAAGTTTTAGAAATGGTTAAACACAGATGGTTTGATCGGTGTAGATTATGAAAAGAGATAAAATCAAAAGGTTGTGTAACTTACTGCACTGTATGGAAGAGAGTTTTGAGGTGAAAGGAGCAGCAATGGAGGCATCACCTAGCTTCACTACTTGTACCTGATCCTCTTCAAGTTCACGCAGGACTTGACTGATCCTCTCCTGTTCCAGAAAAACCCTGATATTAACACCAGTGTACTACAACTCTTATTACTCAAGTAAAAGCCAAGTTAATGACCTTTTCTAGGAATAACATTTTTTTAAATTACCCCTAGATAGATAGGTAATTACAGAGCAGAATAGACTAGCAGGACAGACTAGCGTGCTACATTCAGTAGACTAATGAATATAAATTGGTTTCAAGAAGAGTCATTGGAGTTTAAGCAAATTACAGTTACACACCTTTTGTGCTGCAAGCTGCTCTTCTCTCTGGGCCATCACCCGTTGTCTGGCGGCCCTTGAGCTCAGTTTGCCTCCTGAAGTGACAGGCGGTAAAGGTCTGGTTTCTGATGTGGATGACTCCTTTTCTCTTCCACGCTTCTTTTTTTCAGGCATGCGCTCAGGGGCATTGGCTAATAGTGCAACACCTGAGGGAGGAGGAAAAAAAGTAATCATTGCAATCTGCTGGTGTCATAAATGCTAACTCAATTATAGCTGATAAATCTTACCTATGTGAGCATGTTTCAGAGCTCCCACATCATTTGTACCATCACCGCACATCAGTGTCACATAACCCAGCCCCTTCAGACTGGTGATTACAAATTCCTGAAACACAATGGATGAGTAAAGTATTGTTACAAACACTGCCAGTATTTCCTAAAATGCATTTCAACAAACCCCAGAGAAGTCTAACCAAATGTGTTCCAGTTACTACCTGTTTTTTTACAGGTATAAAATGCCTCTATTTTGAATGCACTACAAACAGACTTCTGAAACTACTACCTGTCTGTACTCTGTGATAGGTCCCACTGTAATATTCTCATTACTATTAAGAAACAATTAAGATTTTAAAATTTGACACCAACAAATTGATAACTAGTGCTTGACATAGACAACAACAAATGATTGCCACACTCCACTGAGGTTTTTTTTTTCCCCCACCCCTTTTTTAAAACCTGTTAAGCTACTTTCCCATGGCTGCATATAGAGGCACACTAAATGTAACCCAGGGATAAATTTCTATGAGTTGATCTTTTGAAATGTTTCAAAAGTATGAATCATAACACTATTACGGGATCCAATGGTGCTTAGGGCCCTACCTTCTGTTTTGGACTGACACGAGCAAACACTTGAATGTGAGGCAACAGGGTGTGGAGTAGCCGGGGATCACAGCTCAATCTGGCCAGCCCTTCCCCTGTTACACATAAGTCAAACTCATGCACAAATGAAGAAATGGATGGCGGGGGCAGTGGTGCACACACAGTGCCATCAATGGATTCCCACTGCCATGTACCTGGAAAAAAAAACATAATTTTAATATGTCTTGTTCTTGATCTAAACACCTAGGCCTTTATTTGAGTAACACACGTAGTTCTATAATGCGATACTCCTCTTACCTTGATTAGAGCTTGGCTGTAATATAAGGGTGTGTTCTTTCTGGATGAAGTGGAGTTCTCTTGCTACATGACATGCCGTTAAAGGGTTATCACCTGTGATCATGACAACCTGAAAGAAGACAGATGTATTAAGCATCTTAAAACATTACTCAGTACATTTGTGTAATTTTGCAACATCTGCTTATTTACATGATGAGATGCTTCTTGGATCTCTCTGATGACAGCTTTGCTGTCATTCTTAAGCGGACAAGACACGACCATGAACCCAGCAAAATGAAGGTCACACTCCAGAGCATCGCGACTCATCTCCCGAACCTTTGTGATCACCCAGAAACAATCAGGTCAGTTTCAAACAAATTTATTTTCAGATAAGACAATATCTGAACATTCTGAGTAAAATGAAACAAGAACCTGCTGATGACTAAGGTGTCCCATCTCTTTGTAGCCCAAGGCCAGCACTCTAGCTCCCTCCCGTGACATTTCCTTGTGCACTTGGTCATAACTTGCAGGACATTCTGCAAACTACAATGACAGACATGTTAGGATATACTTGATTATGCTGTAAGACATGAGCATTTTTTTCAGGATGTCAGCCTATACCATTCCTCTGAGTGTCTCTGGAGCGCCCTTAACAGTTGATATGTAGCAGAGTTCAGTGGAGCCAAGTTTCTCGTAGGAGGCCAGGACAGACATCCTCTTTAGAGCGCTGGCAAAATGGAAACGCTGGTGGATCTTAAGTCCCTGGGTTTTAATGCCTCGTGGAAATACCTTTTCATCTGGTCAAAGAGACAAAAGTTAGCATTGTGTAAAAGACAGATGTACCCAAATACTAACATTTGCTGTAAAAGTACAATTGTATTTAAAAATAAGCATTGCTTTAAGATAAACTACAAGCTCAACACAACGGGTATGGTAATGCAAACATGAGAAAATTTGAAAAGGAAACATTATTTAACAAAAACATGAGTCTATACTGCACATGTTCTGTCACACACAAGCCATTTCCCTGCACTGTGTATCTGAAGGGATTACTTTCTGGTACCTTTTGTAAGGGTCCAGTCAGCAGCAGTCAGCATGGCCTTCTCTAGTGGATCTCCAACTAGTTGTCCATCATCCATAGTGACCAGTGAGTGACAGGTAGCCACCACCCTGTGTGTCTCAACTGGAATCTCAGATACAGGCATCACCTCCTTCCCCTCTCTGTCATAAAAAATAAGTTCCACGTAACGTAAATGTATGTAAATATTAACCAACCTAAAGTACAGTGTAGTATGCTTTGTCATTGTGCTTCACAATTTTTGCTGTTATGGCAAAACAGTAATATCGGTGCTGAAAGTGTTTACCTAAGACCGGCTACTCCTCGTACTACCAGACTATCACTGGTGAGTGTTCCTGTTTTGTCAAAACAGCAAATCTCCACTTTCCCAGCAAATGGTATCCTGAAAGGTTCTGTGCAAAATACATCTGAGGAGTAGAAAAAGAAGAATGAAACATTGCTGTTACAAGTTTTGTTTTATAAGCTGCCTTTCCAAGTCTTCACAAGTTTTTACATCTAAATCTAATCTAAATGCCTAAATGTTTGAAACTGACCATCTAAACAAAATCATAGGAATTTGTTCAGCTTTTTGTTTTGCCATTTTTCTTTCTCATATGTAGCAGATAGCAAGAGACTGTCCGTGTCACATGGAAATACTGTGGGTGCATTCAGGCTTGACACAGACTTTGTGCTACGGAGCTGGCAGGGTAAAACTGGTTTAATATCTGATCAAACTAATGTGGCCATTTTCCTTTTCACATTCAGCGCTGATATCTAGGAAAGTTTAAGGCTATAGTGCACATCTTATATTCAACAAACAAACACAAGTCATGCACACAGACTTACAAAGTTTAGCTAGGGCAATAAGAGATGTGTTAACTGCTAGAGAAAGCTCTATGGGAAGTTCTGGTGGAACCACTGAGGTGAGGATAAGCGTGCACTCCAGAAAGAGCTTGTATCGGTTTCTGCTTAGGTCCTTGGTCCCTAACAGGATGAAAGCACAAGTACATTATTTAGATACAATTTATTCCAGACACATGACGTGTTAGTTATGAATTACATCTCAGTAAGCTCATTCTTGGCCTCTCACCTTCAACCCACACATAAACAGCAGCAGCAATGGCAAACACAAGAAGGAAAAGAATGAAGATGAAGGTCTCCAGGTTGTTCGCTGTCACTCTCTTCACACCAAAGAGAATTGTCCTTAACAGTTTACCCTAGAGGCAAGTTTGACAACACACATTTAACACAGTTTCGGGTATGACATAACACAGACTATAGATTGCTATCAAAACTAGAATATAAATGCAGTAAGCAAATTCCTGACCTGAGAGGTGTAGAATCCTGTTCTCAGTACGTAGGCTACACAACCATTGTCTACCGCTGCACATAAAGAAGAAGACTTTAAAGCATGCACCTAATCTTAAAAAGATATATAATACATAATCATTATCAGGAATCATTTACAGAAAATGGAATTAGGACTTACGCTTGAGTCCAGCACTGGCTTTTAAAGGCGGGCTATGCTGAACTACTTTAGTCCCACCAGAGATGACATGGAGGCGAGAGTCTGTCTGAAGATCCAGGATTCTTTCTGGGTCCAAGTCCTCAATTGGCTCCTGATCACCACATATTTTTAGCAATTAGCTGAGCTACACAAAGACTAATGCCATTTTGAATAATTAGACATTGTAATCACCTATATGTTTCTAACCTTCATCTGGGGCACAGATTCTCCAGTTAGCATGGCCTCATCCACAATGCAACGGCCCCTAAGCAGCAACACATCACATGGGACCAAGTTGTCCTGTGGTGAGCGCCCTATTAGGTAGAGAAGTAGAGAATATACATTTAGCCACAGCTAAACAGAGTTAAGTTGATTTTTGTGTTGAGAAATGACGAAAACATTGACTGGAGACTCACCAATTGAGACAATGTCTCCAGGGACAAGTTCGTCACTAGAAATGTGTCTCCACTTCCTGTTGCGATATACCTGTCAAAAAAATACATGTATTTAATATGGGCTGCTTTAAATACTTGCACTGATTAAACAAAACATTGCAAGAATCCTTGATGAGCTTGCGACCAAATCTCAAATCAATTAAGGCAAGAGAACTACAAATCACAACGCTCAGTGATGCTTTCAGCATAGCTTTGTATTAGCCATGGTCCTGTGTTAAAGCAAGCATGAATCAGATTTGTTCCAACACTCTGACCCTGGTTCATTGGTCCCTTCTCAGACCAGTGTCACTACCTGCTAACCACTGATTATGTGGCCATTATTAAAATTAGGTTTTTAGAACTGCGCATTTATCCCACAACAAGTATATTCACTGTAAGAACCAACTCTTCACTTAACATCTAATATATTTTAGATGTTGACATGTTATGATAATTAATGTAATTGCAGGATTTCTTTGGCTTGTCTGCAATATTGACAATAATGTTTTTGCTTTATACTTTCAAAACATATCATACAAAACAATAAAATACATCAACCCTACCTGAATCATATAGGGCTTGTTTCCCATGCGCCGAATCTCTGACATATTTCTCATTTGCTGCTGGACCAGAGAGGCCTCAAATGCCACCAGCATGAACAGCGTGAAAACACTGTAGTACCAGTACTCATCCAGGCACCACAGCCCCACACAAAACACCTGATATATGGACGAAGGTGCGTAACAATACATGAATGCAAGAATATTTACATATATTTTTGAAATATAAAACCTGTCAAATACTTCCACACATACCTGGAAAACAAAAAAGGGAGCTGTGGCCCGTTCTTTGAAGAGCTCCAGAAAATCTGGAACAATCATTTCAGCACGATTGGTGCCATAACGCTTCTCTGCAGCTTTGAGCTCAGTCTCCTCCTGGTAGCCACGCCAGGATTGAAAGTATCCCAGTGGGTTACTTATGGGAAATGCTATTGGAAGGAAACATTTCTTTTCTTTGTAGTCAAAGGTGTAGCGGATCTTTTGAAACTCGAAAGACAGAGTTCTTTCCCCGTTTTCATCCTGTTGGACAAAATAAGAAATTGTATACTGAAGCATTCACAAAAGGCTGAAAGGCACTTGATACTCCTTACAATTTTCACATCATGTCTAATTATAGCAAATTATATGTACTCTCAAGTAGGGGAATATTTTAGAAAAAGATCCAACAAAGTTGTGGCCTTTTCAGTGGGTAAACTGAAAATGGTTTATCTCCAGTATACCAGTGTATCTGCTATGAAAGCGAACCTAACACTGAGCACTTTGTCAAGACTGCAGAGACAGCAAGACAACACTTTCCCATTTAACTTCTGTTACTACTCAAGCATGATACATGGGACTATCAATGCTGCAGACTGTAAGCTATTAAAATTATTTTCCTTGCCTAAAGTAAAACCAAAAACCTTCCCAGAAGGTTCACACATAAGCAGCATTCATAAGAAAGTGACAAAGGAGACAGTGTTGCTTCAAAACCTTGGGATTTGTCAACAGGAAGCATGCTCCAGATCAACAACAAAATCCACATCATTTCAGAGGATGCCAGGAGTAAATTATGTGCACTGACCTGGTCCCTCTGTAGTGCTACTAGCTCCGCGGAGCCATTGTTGGGGGTGGGTATGACCTTTGCCAGCGTAGCCTTTTCTGGGTCTGGCTCCTGCAGACGTCAAAAAAGACAGGTGACAAATTCACACACAACAGTCACACTTATTTTTGGCATAGTCGTGTGCCTCATGAATTTTGTTCCTCTAAAATAAAGCATTCCCTGATGTACAGCAAACATGCATTTCAGGCAGAATGTGAAAATGCACTTGTCCATTATATTTTGTGGACTTTTAGTCTTTATTGTATTAAGAAAGTAAAGAGAAGACAAGAAAGCACAGTAAGTAGCCTCAGGGCAGATTTAACCTGCTAAACTATACTGGGACCTCAATATAAAACTATACTTAACTTTTATGTCTGACTGTAAAATTGAGCTTGATTACGTTATTGATGCAAATATAACTTTGATTTTGTGAAGGGGAAACTATTCTTATGCAGCTGCTTGCTAAGTAAACACAGAAATGCTGAGCACCAGGGTTTTCTTCCCCCCAAATTAGGTTTGCTTTACTTAGTTGGACATAAAAAACAAACAAACAAACAAATAAGATTATGCAAATATTTCACATACTCATTGCTTTTCTGTACACAGACCACTTGTGTTTAGATACATAATACGCCCACCAGTTATTGGTGTGGAGGCTTCCATCCTAGTCAAGAAATGTTCCTATATAAACTTTCAGCAATAAGTCAATCTCCCATTGGGAGGATTAAAGTCAGGTAGGTTTTTACGCCTTTTTTGATTCACATCTGCCCCGTTTTAGAACACAGTGAATTTGGAAATAATGTCCAAAAGTATACTGAAGACTTTAAATGAAGGTACTAAATGTTGTAGTGAAGATTTAAAATACGATTTTATAAGGGAAATGTGGAGATGTACGGTGAAAGTTTGGTCATTTGTGTCCATGAAATTAGTGCAGTGATTATAACCAGAAAACCTGTTCTGCTCCACTGGTTTCAGACACCTGTACCTGCACTTGAGCACATGATGTTCCTGACCTTTGACATAGACAAACACAGAAGGGCAAACCAGTGGGATCTATTTGGATATCAGCAGGCTTAATAAAATATTTATTAATTATGTTTACCTTTGAACAAGTGAGCCAACAATGCGCGTGCACAGACCAATAACCGGAAAGTGCTGTGAGGACGTGCGCGATCCCGATAGCAGCTAACGCCAGGAGGCCTGCCTCTGGATAATCTGGGGCTCCGTACACTCCTAGCCATACGTACAGCCAGCCCGGGTAGAGAAAAGCCAGAAACGGGAGCACAGTGCCGTGCAGCAGTCGGGGCCTTCGCCTGTACAGCGTCACCGAGCTCACCAGCTCATCGCCGGTGCCGCTGTCATGCTGGTTATGGTTCACAGAGGGGGCCATTTGCAGCTCACCCGGTCCCCGGATTCCGTCTGCAGCTATTCTCCCGTCTTTCTTGGTGTCATTCATCGTACTGTGCTCGCCCCTCTGGCCCCCTCTATCATCCACCACCACCCGTCGTGCTGTAGCCTGTAAAAATACGAATCTACACACGGAACGGTGAGCGGTTTTGCCCTCAGAGCCCGTTTACTGAATCGCTCGCTCCCACGGCCGTGTCTTCCGCATACGTAACGACGTAAAGACACGTAATGTTCTAGCTGGCACAACGCGATTGAACCGGGAAAAACAACGTTGTTTTTTTTTGTTTTTACCTCGAAATACTTGTAAAATTTACTGTTTAAAGTAAACATTAAAAACATTAACACTTCTAAATATAGGGGTGTATCTGGCAAAATGTAGACTTTATTTGCATGTTAATCGAGCAAGTGGCTTTCCCCTTTAAGGAAAGTGACGTCACTGTAGGGGCGTAGCCAGAGTGTGTGACTGATGCAATCCTGAACCAATAAGATTATACATTGGCGTTCCTGTCCAGGCATGGCTCCACATGCAGAAGTAGTGGTGGTGTAACCTTGGCTGATTAGCGTCCTCGTTTCAAACACCATAAAAGAAGCAACATGTAAGAATTTTAAATAATCAGTTACACAATGTACACGTTGTATTTCCTCGATAAAGAATCTAATGTAACTAATTACAAGTATTTGTTGCATCCTCCAGAAAAGTACTTTATCGTGTTGAATTTACTGCACACAGGAGTGATAGTTCTTATCTGTTCTCACGCACTGGTTTAAATAAATCTGTCACCTTTCAGGCAGGCTGCTATGGATATAACTGCAAAGTACTGCCGTAAAGAAATGGAAGCGTATGGGTTATGTGTAGCCTCCAATCCATCAACATGGCAGCAGAAGTGTCACGAGCTGAAGATGAATGTTGCACAATGTACATCATCACAGTAAGTCCATTTATTTGTTCTGTCATTCCTACTCGAGTGATTCTGGCATCCTGCTGTAAATATTTTTCAGGCGTATTTTAATCTAACCCCTAACTATGTTAAGCCCAGTCATCCAGAAGATCAGGCAGGAGTGTTCCAATGAGTTTGTGGAGTTTGAGCGCTGCCTGAGAGAACATCAGGGACAACCTGTCTCCTGCTCGCCACATGTGGCTAGCTTTCTGGGCTGTGCAGAGACAGTCGACCTCAGTGGAGTGGGTACGTTTTTCAGTGTGTTTTTTATGGAAACAGGTTGTGCATGCTGGTTTTTCATGCATCATAATATAAAACAAATTTTGAAGACACTAATGTTTGCAAAAATAATAATAACATTGCATAAGCTTTAGTTGCCAACATACCAAACGATTATTTTTATCTTTTCCAGCTACAAATCCAGTATCTCAACCATCTTAGCACAGGATGTCCTCCATTACCAGAAAAAACCTGTATCTACACCACTGCCACCAGGTGGGCTGGTTTCAAATGTATTCCAGACATGTATGTACAGTGGCTGATAGAATACAATACTTCCCAATTCCTACTTCCTAATTTTATTTTGCATATTTATCACATTTACATGTTTCAGACCATCATCATCATTTTAATATTAGACAAAGATAACCTGAGTAAATACAAAATGCAGTTTTTAAATGATCATTTATTTTGTTAAATCATCATTTAAACCAGGGGTAGGCAACTCCAGGCCTCGAGTGCCGGTGTCCTGGAGGTTTTAGATGTGTCCATGATCCATCACAGCTGATTTAAAGAGCTAAATGACTCCTCAGCATTTCTTGAAGTTCTCCAGAGGCCCGGTAATGAACTAATCATTTGATTCAGGTGTGTTAACCCAGGGTGCGATCTAAAACCTGCAGGACACTGGCACTCGAGGCCTGGAGTCGCCTACCCCTGATTTAAACCTACCTAACCCTAGCTGAAAAGCCTAAATGTAATAACTGATTGTGCTACCTTTGGCAGCAAGAATTGCAATCAAGGGTTTGCAATGACTGGCAATAAGTCTTTCATTTTAATTCAGCCGAGCTGCAGGGTTTTCAAGGATGAATGACCTGCTTTAAGGTCATGCCAAAGCACCTTATTGACTAGGCCACTCCAAGTCTTCATTTTGTTTTTTTTTTTGTAAGGTCACACTTGCTTGTGTGCTTGGGGTCACTGTCCTCATGCATAAACCAAATGTGCTTGATTAGGTTCTTGGGTAATGGAGTCAGACAAATTTGATGTGCACTTGATGACGCTTCCATCAGTCAAGTCGTTCAGGTGTTGAAGCAGCAAAGCAGCCCCAAAACATCACCACCAAACTACCACCACCATGGATGACTGTTGGTAGGATGTTCTACTTCTGAAATAGTGTGTTGATTTTATGATGTTAGGAATTACTTTTTCGTGTTTCTTTTTCATGAGTTTGGATAGCTTTTTCCCCCTTAAATAATTTAAATAATTTACAAAGTGTATTTTATTCTTTATTGGATTATTGTCTTAAATTTGTTTGATAGTCTGAAACATGTAATTGTGACAATTATGCAAAAAAAAAAAAAAAAAGACAACATCAGGAAGTGGGCAAATATTTTTTTAACAACACTGTATTTATTTAAATTTGCGTTAGTACTGTGGGTTACATGATTGCATGAAGTATTTAATTGCTGTGTCATTCCCTAATTTCTCATGTAAGTTTTATGATTTAAAAATAAGATTTATGTCTCTGAATGTGAGAAAGTCAGGTGTGTACTGATTTATTGAACAGTTTCATTAAAAAAATGACCTTAGACTTCTAATACTCTTCTGATGTTGTCATCCTCTTATTGTTTCTGTTTCTTGTGCCTATTCCTCCCACCCGTGCCCTCTTCAGGTCTGAGTCAGAGTCAAATATTAAACTGGAATGTATTGCTCCCACACAAACTATCCTGGCTACTCAGTGACTGAGCAATAGGGAGTCTGGGAAGAAAGGAGAAGGCTGTCCAGCTCTAATCAGTGGGACTACTGAAAGAGACAGAGGGAGGATGTTGAGTTATGAACCCTGTGACCACTAAGCAGAACAGACATTTTCTGGTTGAGTTATTAAAGTTTTGAGTGGAAAGACTGAGAGGAAACTGATTCCTTGCTTTTAAAGTGCATCTTTGTTTCATACCATTTGAGCAAGTGATAAATGCGTCATCATTTATTGTATTTAGGACAAAGAAGCCAAGTGTTGTTCAAAGACGAAACCGCAGATTGTATTGAAGATACGGCAACATTACATTCAAAGCACATCACCTGGCAGTCACTGATCAAAAAAGTAAGATAAGAACTCATCTACTGCACAAATAAGTTACATTCACAATATTATCACTTTAAAAACACCATGAGTCAGTTATCAGAGTCAAACATAATGTCAGGAAGGAATGTCACAGGCTGTAGCCAATTACTGGCTTCTAAATGAAAAGAGTTTCACCCTAATCCTATTTTATTCTGCACCACTTCATGATTCTGATCCTGATGCCTTCTGCAACACTTGAATTTGGAGGCTATTTCTTCATACCTACTTGTGGCACATAAATATCATGCTACAGTTTAAATATTTGCTGATTATCACATAAGAAGATACGATATACCTACCTAATGTGACTTTCTGAGAAGGAAATTATTACAGTTTGTGACTACAACAGTTAATTATAACACAGTCATACACACATTTACATTTGGAGTACCTTCATGTACCCAGTATCCTTCATTTGGGAAATTATATACCAAAGAGTTGAAATTTACTGCACTGTTTTTGAGTGATCACATTATAAAAGAGAAAGGAAAACTAAAACGATAACCACTTAAACAACCCTGTTTCCGCATAAGGCTCCTCAAATGACCCTGTAGAGTTTATAGCTAAATGCCAAAAAAACCCACTTTTTTTGGTCCATATTTTACCAGTCATGCAGTATGAAAAACCAAGGATATAGTTTGAAATAATTTTTCACAGAATTTCTTTGCAATCTCTGTCCTTCAAGTCATTGGGAAAGTTAAATTGTCATCCTATCCAGCACAATATCCTGAGTTGTGGCTCAGGTTCCACAAACATACACACTAACCTGAGAGCAAAAGTGTACTCCAATCCATATACAGTGCTGTATACGCTGCAGTCATTCACACAATAACTACTCTAGTCCTGGCAAAACAAAACAAAAAGTAATGCAATATACTAATTTAATTTAAACCCTCAGCTGCCCATCAGCTGCCAAGACTGCTAATTATATGTGATTTGATTGATGAATTCACTTTCAGCAACCAATTATCATCTGTAATTCGTGATATACATATTGATAGGTATAAGTGTTTTAATTTTTTTTTGTTGGAAAGTGCCATGAAGCATTTTTCATTAAACATTACATAAATACAACAGAGTAAACTGAGGTCCTTTATCTTGGACATTTACAGTGTCTGTATTTCCAGCATGTGATTCTTATCTGGGAAAGATGTGGGATCACTATGTTAATCTGCTGCAAATTGATATTATGACTAACTATGTCTAATTGATGTTAGCCTGTGATAAAAGCTCGTAAATGTGTTTGGCTGTAGGGTGTTTCATGGAGAATGGTCCCACAGGCATGTTGATGGACAGACTCCATTAGCTGCATCTCTGAGGTGAAAGGTGAAACAGGAGGGGAAAGAGTGACAGTTTATAAGGGTCAGGAGGTGAAATAAGAGTTCTGCATGGAGTACAGACGGTCGATGGGATTTCCCACTCGCCCTGCCAGGAGACCGCCCTCCCCTGTTGCTAAGAGGCAGTCGCCAAGGTGACCAAGGCTTCCATCGCTGTCCAGGTCATGGAACACTGTTTCTGAGTCTGCAGTCAAAAGGAAGGAGAGTGTGGACAGCTGAAGTGAAAGAGTTTTTAGTGAGAGCAAGAAAAAAAAAAGTAAAAGCAAGTTATTTTATTTTTGTAACTTTTATCTTTGTCTTTCTGTCATACCATAGGAGTGGAGCTGCTCGCTATTCAGTTGAGGTGGTGTAAGCCCATGTCGAAATGGCTCTCCACCATAAATGTTGGGGTCCAGAGCAAGGAGCTGCTGACGTGGCAGAGATGGATATCCCAGCATCCCATCCATGCCATGGGTACTAGATCCATCTATATAAAGATTCAAAACGCCCAAAACTTTAACCATACCAGTCTTTCTTTCCATCTTTTTTTCTTTCCTTCTTGATCTTGTACTGGTACTCAAAGCTCTTACCCTCGCTGTCGTCATTGCTTTGGCGGCCCCCTCTGCTCGGTCCCCTCCTGGTGCCTCCCAGCTGCTCTTGTTCCTGCTGCTGCTGCTGCTGCTGTTGCTGTCGGCGAGCTAACTTTTTCATCTGACGCACAAAAGCACACGGTGTACAAATTTTCTCTTTGTGCTTTTGTGAGCATGCCTTTAGGAAAACTATAAAGTCTTACCTTGGCTCTCTGGTTTTGAAACCACACCTGAACAACACGCACTGTCAGCCCAGTCTCTGCAGCCAGTGTCTCTCTCACCTAGAGGATAGAGTTTTTAATTGTTTTAAAAATCTTAACTTCACAGTGCCAAACACAGCAGCCATACCCTTGAAAAATGAAGTTTGGAAAGCATGACCAGGAGTATCTTGTGGCATACTGACAAGACCAACAACCCACCTTACGGCATGGTTTGGCTGACACTTCAAAGGAGGCCTTGAAAGCACGCCGCTGCTGTGTGGTCAAGATAGTGCGTGGACGTTTTGAACGCTTGTGCTCCTTGCCTTCATCACCGCCTTTCCCTCCTCCGGAGCCTCCTCCACCATCCTCATCCTCACTTTTTACTGAGCAAGTTAAGTAAACAATAGCACAATCAGAACAATGCTCTGCAAACAGTGACATTTGAAACAAATATTTTCCATGTAGTTTACAGTAACAGTTTGTTCGTTCTCATGGAAGAAAATGGTACTGCTTAAATTACTTTCAACATACTGCTGAAAACTATTCTCACTATTTGAAATTCAATAATCGCGCCTTCATTTAAAATTTTTAAAAAGGAAGAAGCTTGAAACTTTTTTCTTTTTTGTTTTTTCTTGAAACTGCTTTTGGCTTAAATATTAAGGTTTTTCTTTCAAATACTGTTTACTCATTTAAAGGGGATGAAAATGATTGATTTTGACTAAAGGCATGAGTGTAAAAAGAAAGATTATTTCCCCAAGAAAAGTAATTTTGACCTTTATTATGTATCCTCCGAAGAAACCTGCTTTACCTGATTCAGTTGGTGTAGGGCTGATGGCAGCCAGCATTTCCCTCTCCTTTTCATAGTCCATGCGGCAGAGCAGCTGGCCTTCTTTCAGCACAAACTCATCACCTCTCTGCAGCCGACGTTCACACTCACAGCAGCTGAAGCAGCCCAGGTGGTATACCTGGCCTAGCACACGCATTATCAGCTCAGAACGTCCAATGACTTGCAAGCAGGCACTGCACTTTCTTACAAAAAGCCTGGAGGGGCACAGAAACATACACACGTGGGCTTATATTTTCATGGATACATCCATAAACTGTGAAACATGGCATGATAACAGTCTAGCAGCTTAGAATAAGAAGTAAATTAATTAAAGATGGCAGCACAAACAAGAAGCTCTGACACATTTACCCTTAGCGCCAATGATTCTGGAGATTAGCATAGTCTCTTAATTAAAGGTCCTATAAGCATTACCCAATTCACAGTGCAACAAGGTGAACATCTGTTAGATGGGTTACAGTAGTCTGTATTATTACATTGTTTTTTATTTTTAACATTCTCACAGTAGGGGGCAGTAGTTAGCTTCTTAAAAAGATGTCTGTGGAGAGTTTTTCCCCATTTAAATCCTTAAATGTTAAGATTTCCTTGGTGAAGTGAACTCCACTCTGTCCATATATTGCCCACAATTTATGTATTTAACTCAGTGAATAAAGCTTAAAACAGTCTTTCTCAGGTCTATTACTTTTCCCCATGACCACTTTCCTTCTTTTGTCCCCCCATCTCTCCTCCTGTGCTATGTTACAACCCCTAACTTTCTCTCCCACATGACAATCTCTTGCACATCCCTATTTCTATTCACAGGGCCCAAATCTATGCCATTAAATTCCTCTCAAATCCCTGCTCTTGCACTTGGTTTCCTCCCCTTCCCTCCTCAGTATTCAGTACTTTCTGCCAGCATTCCCAGTTCTCCCTCATGCCCTCCCAGCCTGCCTCCCCAGTTCACTGAAACTAATAAAGACAGGATTAATTAGATTGTTGTTTAAACAGTGAGATGGCCAGACAGACGCTGTAAACTCATAACCAGGGATTGGGGATAGCATGGGGTTAATCTCTCTCCTCTCACTTATGCACGCACACGCACGCACACACACACACACACACACACATGCACATATGCACGCACACACACACACGCACACACACACACCATCACCACATTTGCACACACTCACCCACCGAGTATCAGTATATATATATTTGGATAGTTACTCACATTCACCATATCATCAAAGCAGTGGTGCAACACATCTATGATTAGGAAATATTCTTGATCGTCATTACAATTCTTCAGTGGGAAAAGTTACGAGGAAGCCTGAACATGGGTGTGAAACAGATAAAGGTTGATGTATACAGAAATAGCAGCACAATGGAACACAAACCCTGTTAAGAAAGGAGGGAGGATGGGAAGGGAGGGAATGGGGGGAAGAAGGGATGAAGCCTGAAGTGTTGACGCTCCCTGACTGAGTGATAGGAAGGTGTTGCTGCCCAAATCTGGAGAGTAAAGAAGGAGCCAGGTCTGCACATTAGAGCTCCTAATCTGTGATTCTGTCCCAAACGCAGCTGCTACAGCTAATCTTTCTCAATCCATCTGCCAAACGCTCCCCAAATATCCCCAAATGACAGTGTCGCTAACTTAACATCATAAAGCAAACACAATACTCCTATAAGCAACCATACAAAGACTATTATGATAGGACCTTGTGTTTGACTAAATGTTGCTTAAATTACTTAGTCACAGTAACATTACATTGCATTTTAGAAAGATGCTTCCACTGTAAAATTCCTGCAATAACGCACATGTCAATCATAACATGTGGTACAGAACATGCATGCTACAAAAGGGCGCAA